TTGTAAAAGATAATATTTGAAAATATTTTTAATTAGCCATTTTGAAGGTTTTATATACAATATATATGATTTGTATATTTTATAGGTATTTGATTTTATCAATATATCTAAATGATTTCATGACATGTAATCATGTAACAATACAATTTATATGATAAGAATAAATAAAACAATTAAAATGTTATATAGTTCAAAATATAGAAGTCTGTATATGGTGTATAAAACTTTTAATTTAAATTCTACTGCAACTTTTAATGCAAATTCTACTATTAATATGTATCTGGCTAAATCTTTTCAAAGAAACCTTCTTATTAGTTAAAGTTTGAGAATTATATATAATTAGATATAATTTCACTGTATTTTATCGTATAAAATATAAAATTATTAAATAAGCTACGTTATTCGAACTATAAATAAGCAAAATGAAAGTATACTATAGTATGTTATATATATCTAAAATTTCCTTATTGCTATCAATTTTTATTTAAAATGTAAGTTATTATAATTTTCTGATTGTACGCAATAAAAAAATGTTCAACATTGAAATTTGATCATTGACATTGATGAACATTGACATATTATTTATCACATTATTTATTTTAATATTATTTTTAAAGCTAGTATTTATTAAAGTTAGTAATTGTTGACTCCCTCGTTTTTCTTCTATAACTTTGTATGTGGTTCTTTTATTTTTCGCATTAATTGCACGACACGTTTATTTTAATGTATGTGATTTAATTAGCCTTTTCATGTGATATGCACTATAGAGTTACTCATTCTCATGATTATGTAATTTCCTAGCTCCCTTCCATAATATTCTTTAGTTTTAATAGCCAGTTAGATCCTAAATACTTTTCTATCATTTTATTTTCGTACAACTTATATTTTCATAATTTCGTAAGATGTCACATTTGGAATTTCTATATATATATATATATATATATATATATATATATAGAGAGAGAGAGAGAGAGAGAGAGGGATACCATTATAGGGACTGTTATTATTGCTTAATATTATTGAAAATTATAATAGTTTATTATGAGAGTGGAAATTTTATATTTGTTCTTCATGCAAGTTGGAATTAGAATAGATTAGTCGCAATGGAATGTAATTGATAATATGCTGCAGCGGGCGATTTAATCATCATATATTTTCTACTTCCAGACTCTTTTGTTTCATTACAATACAAAGCTCTCATAAAGGATATTATAATTGTAGTATAAGAAAATGTGGCCTTTGTTATTCACACGCTAACGGCTATAAGAATGGAGATAGTGGTTTCGCTTTCGACTATACACGGTGGTTTTCACGTTCCCTTTGACTGGGCAGCGGTAACGCTTGACCTGATCCCGTATTCCAACGTTGGAGGTTTCTAATGGGAGCTTCTACGTTTTCCACACATGTTGCTGCTTTCTCCTTTAGGCAACTCAATGTAGCCTGAGGAAAGTCTCTTTTATTATAGGTACGGTGGTAGCGTCAAATCGCTTAGATAAATTTGTTTAACAAGTTTCCCAGGGCCGTCGACGCTTGGTTAGAAGAGCGCGAAGGGAAGAACAAGGACAAGAAGCGCGGCAGCTTCAGGGTAATGTATGCAATGACATTGGGCATGCATAAACACATGCTAAGGTGAAAACGAGACAGGAGCTTAAGGGGTCTCGAACACTGCGCGTCGAAGACTCTGAGACGATAAAGTAAGTTTCCGTACATTTTCCCGCGAGTTTACAAGCTGATGGCTCTATTGTACGCATGTGAACACGACCGAAGATACAATGCTTCTTTCGCATATGGCATATATGTTGGAGAATATTTTTAGGAATTTAGGCATGCGAGGCCGTATAGAAAACTGCTCTCATATTGATTAATCAAATATGAAAGTCAAAATGTAAATACATGGATACGCACTCCAGAAAAAAGATGTATTTTGATAGAGTTTTAGCCATGGTTTATGAGACAGCTCTATTTAAAGAATAGAGCGACACCTTCTATTGCAATGAACTTTACCTTTATAGACATTTCTTTAAACTTTATCCAAGTGTATGATCCCAGTATGGATTATTTAAATTTTAATGTTTTTCAGCAATATTAGCAGAAGCCCGTAGTTCAAGTATAAGACCAACTTAAGTGTTTTATGCAAAATGTATGGTTATGTAAAATATAAACAATGGTATTAGAAATACGATCCAGAAAATTTATATATATTTATCATGTATACATTATGGTACTAAGTTTAAAAAGATTGTTGGTTTATATTTTAATTATGACTTTTAAAAATTTATTTTATTTACTAATTATTACAAATGGAATATAATTATTTAATTTAATATTATATTAGTGTTTTCTTTTCATTTTTCAGAAACATATTTTAATTTAGATGTTAACTAAAATATTAATTGAAATTGATGAGTTGTTTCACAAGCTTCCTTTGTGACTAAAATATATATCTTTAGTCTTTCTAATATTTAAGTACATTTTTAAATTTAAATATTAAATGAGATTTTATGTAATTTTGTATTATTTTATTATTTTTCAAACCTATCCGATGAATTTATTAATTACTAGAATATTCAAAAATTATTTACACTAATAATTATATGTTATATTATTGATTATTAGATATAATTTTGAATAAGGAGTTTAAAAAACTGAGTAATAAAATATAATTCAAAAGCATAGATTTTGTAGGTATTATTTTAAAATATTTAAAATAATTTTTCATTACTAATAATTAATTTTCTACAAATTACTTTCAATAGGCTGCATGAATATTGAAATTCTATTAAATATACATGCAATTTACAGTTTAAATAACTAAGTGTTTAAATTAAATCAAAAATTTTCCGAGGATTTCTGACGTATCAACACGTAATGCATTTCATTATTTGAACGTCAATTTAATTTAATGTCAGCGCATGGGAATTAACGGATTTACAAACGTTGAAAGCGTTAAAATTGAAATAATTGTTAAAGCCAAAACCAAATTTTCAATTTGAGTATATAGACTAAGGGAAACGTGAATAAAATTAAAAATTAATAATTTTTCTTACTATTACTACATAAATTAGAACAATCGTTTTATATTCTAATTGTGTACTACAAGTGATAATATTATAATTAAATATAGAAAAAAGTTGAAAAAATATGATTGATCTTATGGAATTTACTTTGTAGGCATAAAGTGATATTTGAAGGAGGAAAAGATAGGTTTGTTAAATGAATGTATTATCTTGATTGACAGATTGCCGAAATGATATGCCAAATCCACAAGAGTTACAGTTACTGCTTATAATACAGCTAATTTGAATAACTTTTATTAATAGTTGAAAATACATTTGCAAAAATTTAAATAGATAGAATAATAGATTATTTTATTTTATTTATAAAAAAAAAGAATATTTTTAATAAAAATTAAGGTACATTATTTGTAAATTATTTTAGTTTTATAAATAATCGAATATTGAAAAATTTATTTCAATTTCATTTTATTTTTCATAAGAATAATTAGAATCATTCTGAAATATTTGATAAAATTATATACTAATTATTAAATAGCTTACATAAGTTTTTTTCAAATTTTAGTTATTTCCAAAAATAATCAAAATTCGAAGGAGCCCTATAATAATATCTTATATAATAACAAATCATAGATTATTTTCAAAACATTTTGTGAAATTATTGTGTAGTATATTATCGTAGAATTTAGATGTGGTAGAACTTCGAGATTTCTTTTTCTGACGTTACTGGTCGATTTTTCTTAAGATTGCGAAATTCTTAGAAAATCACCTTCCACTGTTATATTTGAGACTTTCAGTGAAGTTCGTTCGAGTCTAGTTTGAAATGAGAAAAGCGTTGATAAAATAAGAACAGAGAATGAAGCAGCCAAGTAGTCGAGGTTGATCCCTGGGTTAAGAAAAGTGGCGAGTGAGTGAAAGGGCAAAACAAAATGGAAAAAGAGATTGAGAAGGAGTGAGAAATAGAAAAAGAGAAAGTCGGACAGTGCGCGAGGCCGTAAATAAGAATTGCGCGGACGCACTCGTCGAAGTCAATCTCTACTTCTCGTCGAGCAAACAGTTCGATTAGAACGCCCCGGAAAGAGGAGAAGGAACGCAGGGGTCAAGAATGGAAACAGCCAGTGTTCCGTTTTCTTTGGCTACTTTTTCTTCTTCTCGTTTGCTTTCGTTTCCTTGTTCACTCCAACGATTGCGGAGGCCGATAGCGTGTTAACAGTTAGCAAGCCTTTTTTGAGGAGTGGAGAAAGAAGGAAAAGGACCAGGAGGTCGAATAATTCACTGAGTAGCCTCTCTTTTTTACTTCTCCTCTGACCGTTGGGGGTGAGACGGTAGCTCCGCCTTCTATGTTGGGCGAGTAATTCGAACGAACGGACGCTATATAGAATAAGCGGAGCTACACGTTAGAACGATATAACGAAATTTTCAGTGCATGAATGTGCAGTGCCACTGCTGCGGCAATTGTGAAGTATGAACAGAAAATTGGCTTTGTAAAGTTTGTGTACCCATGCTTTTAGGTGCGTGCTTGTCTCTGTATATATGTATTTTATATACTATTATATTTGTGAGCAAGATAAAAATAAACGCCGTTTTTTTACAAAACGCTCTGTTGTTTTATTGAATAAAAAGTTAATTGATTAGTCGCTGGACAATAGATCATAATAATAGAATGAATAACTTGTACTACTAACAATTTTCATACTATAAGAATATTTTTCGATTTTAACAAGCCATGTTTTTGATAAATTTATTGTAATTATTAACTCAATAAATGCAAGCAATTACAAATATGTTAGTTTTATTAAAAATGGCAGTGTAACAGCATAATAAATTTATGAATGCAATCTAATATACCGTATAAATACAATGAATAAATTTTCGTTTAATATTTAACATTTATTTTCAAATATTATTTTGCATTCACTAAACTAAATATGATGTTTATATTTATAAGCAAATAAAAAGATAACGAAAATAATTAAGTAGTTTTACCTGCAGGCTGGCTCTCCGACTGTCTCGAAAAACAAACAGGTACCACCGTTCATACAAAAGTCTCCTGCGATCGGACAGGGCTGCTCTTGCCTCAACCACGCCGCTGTCGCTAAAAAACATTATTTATTACATAATAAACTTCCTATAAATTTTCATTTAACAAGCCTCCACTAATTTACCTTATCAATACATAGTTATAAGAGATTAATCGGTTGCTGTTATTTTTTTCATTGCATTATAGATCATTATCAATGCAAGGTTGTACTTTATTATATAAATGTATGTAATAAAATATACTTATATATAGAGGCTTACACGCTTTGATAATTTTAGCAATGATCAATTAAATTAATCAACGAGTAGCATTTTTAGAAATAAAATTAATTTCATTACTGCGCTAATGAAATATGAATTGTTTTAGCAAATTACTGTATATTTTTCTACTTTTTTAAATATAGAGTTGGAAAATTATGAAATTAATTTTAATGTACTAGAACATTTTTTCATGTTATTATGTACTTTATGAAAAAGTTAGATTTATTACTATACTTATCTTTAATAAAATTAGTTTGTTGGTGAAAGGTAGGATAATGTTCTGTTACGAAATATATGTAAGTTTTTTTTTTTTTTTAAATTAACATGAAAGTGTTTTTATTAACTTATTTTATATACTTTTCTCATATAATTTTTTAAAGATAACAATTACATTATTATTTGCAAGATCTACAAGAATTACAAGATCTTATTATAAGATTATATTTGAAAAATGATTAAATTTTAAATATTTGTTATTGCTTTGTTCAAGGTTTAACAACTAACATTTAACGTAAATTGTTAAAATAATTTATGTTTTGTATCAAAATAATATGGTTAATTATGTTTTTTTTTTATACCGAATTATCATTTATTATAAATTATCTGTATTTCAAATAATAATAAAATTGTTCGAATACTTCTTATAATATAGAATACTATACATATACCCACCACTAGCGCGTTGATATGTATATATTTGTTTTAAACATATTTATTTGTCACTGATTTATCAGAATTAATATAAAATAGTCGTATAAAAAATTATTATCTATACCTTCAGAGTATAAAAATACTTTAACGTTATTCGTTTTATTAATGTACTCAGGGGGTTCAATAAATAATATTTTACTTTAAAAGTTACAAAATGTATAGATTTTGTAGCATTTAATAGAAATCACACGATTTTAATTCGTATATTTTACACTATTGATGGACTTTGTAGAAGTACGACAGAGAAAATACGATAAAAGTAAGTAGAAAGTTGGAAGGAAGGAAAAAAGGTATTAAAGCTTGAAGAGCCTTGGCCAGGCATATTCATAATACTAAGGATCCATTTTTCCTCATTACAGATAACGAGAAGCAAGTAGTATTTGTTTAAAGCCGCGGCAAGTATCAGATGGGGTATGCATAGCTTTTAGCTAAAACCAGAGTATAGGAGCATTAGCCTCGAAATTTCAATTTTCTTTTCGATGGACGGACATGCGAAAATATCCGAGGACAACGTGGAGGTATATAAATGCATCCTAACTTTTTCTCGGTCATTGAGTCTTGGAAAACGCGCTAGTGATAACCAAGCATTCAACATATGTGTATATTGGGGGATGGCTAGTGGACCGCGTTCCAATTCTGCCACTTGCCTGACGTCATCGATTTAGAACCAACATAATTTCACCGATATGGTCTCTTGGCTCGCGTTCTTACGATACTTAGGAGCCCATCTATACCTAGGTCGGCTATAATACAACTTGCATATTTTATACGCCCGGCTTTAAGATTTTTTCAAAAGCAATGTATATAGCAACGCTGAGAAATCCATGCACTCATCAAATAGTATTTTTTATCGTCGATTATATTTTTGTATTCTTAATAAAAGAGTATTTTTTTATCAGTACTTATATGTACAATAATTGCTCGTTTTTTCTGATTGGCTTATTGCTCTGACAAGCCTTTATGGGTATTGTTGGAAATATAACACATATTTTGCTTAATAAAAATATTTCCCGAAAAAATTCAAATTGTTGTATGATATTGAATTTATTGTTGCATAGTTGTAACTATTAATAATTCACAATAAAGAATTATTATTGTTATTTTACCTCGTTTGATTTTTATTAATTTAAAACAAGTTTTTATCCCGTATAATTCAATAATTAGAAAGATAACAGTCAATATTAAATAAATATTTAAAGTTAAAAAAATGTTAATAAATAATACAAAACATTAACAAATAATAAACGAATGTAATTGTTTACGTTTATGTTGAATGTTCAAGCAAGTCAGTAATTGATGACTACAGGAAAATTTAATTGTTGGACTTGTTAGGCTTTTAATTTTGGTTTTTAATTTGTAACTTTAAAGTTTGATGTTCTGAGCATTATAAATAAATATGAAGTGAAGAGCATCAAGTAATAATATGCAAAAAGATAAAATGGAAATTCATATAAACTAATATTCATTCATATTTAAAAAATATATAGATATATATTTTTATATTTTTAAGATATATATTTTTTCAGGAGTTTAAAATACAAATCATTAGACTTCGCTTTACACAACTTATAATCTTCATATTTTTCATCTATTTCTATACAGTTTTATTATTTATAGATTCATTACGTATAGATAGAAAACATCTTCGTGCCTTTACTATATTTTTGTGAATAAGTAATTTAATTATGTGAATTAATTTTTTATCAATAAGTCTGTTCCTTAAAATTAAACGATATTTTATAGTCTAAAAAGCTATAATATATTATATATAGAAAATTGCTCACATTTATAAACTTATAAACTATAAGTTTAAATTTCTTATGCAATTACGTAATTATAATTATTGAAGGAATAAAATTAATTTAAATGATCTCTCAATTTAATATAGATTTTGTATTAAATAAATAAAAAAATGATTTGCTTATTTTAATTATAAAGTATTTATAAGATTTGTTTATATGTATGTTTCTAAAATTGAAGTTAATTTAGTCAATATAGAAATTTATAGAATACATAATCTAAACCAATATTTAACGTATGAACATTTATATAAATTCTTTGGACTTGCCTAAATCAACGTGACTGTCTAAAGGTTAACAATATTAACATTTTCCTATGTACGAGCTTTCGAATTTGAACAGCATTAGTGTAATTTGAATTCAAAATCATGAATAATTATGTATTATTTCATGCAATTTCAATTCTGCAGATATTATCGTTACAAAATTAATAATACAAATATGGTTTGATTTTTATTATACTGCACTAAGTGTAAGCATTTTTATAAGCTACTTAAAGATTAAACATTAATTCGTAATGACATAAATTAGAAGAAGTTCTCATAAATTATAAGATATTTAAAAACTCTATCATTTTTCTTAAAAACATAGAACTAATTTTAAATTTATCATTTTACCATAGAAGGTAATTATAAATCCTTCCAATTCTATATATTTATAACACTATAAATTTTCCGGAATCCATTATACTGAAATAATACTTAATTTTATATTATAAATGAACGTATCAAAAGTTCCAGAGATTATTCTTTCACGTGCATGTTTGCGTACATTATACAATAAAATATCTATCCCTGCTGTGAATATATCATTAATCTGGATGACTTTTCCAAGAACACAAAGGATATTCATTCGTCGAGAGGAGTTTAGAGATAAAAAACGCAACTAATAAATTAAAAATATTCATGCATGTATAAATAGTTAGTAAATCTTTGAACGCTGTATGAAAAAAATTTATGAATATTCCATACTTTTTGAATCATTACATCAACGTTCGGACAGTTCCAATAAAATTGTTGAAAATTTAAGAAACAATGAATTGTATATTACATACTCCAATTCTTTATTTAATATGTAAAGTGCAAAAATTGAAGTTAAAGTACCATAGAAATGTTAGTTAGAAAATTTTTCGTTCTTATGAATTATTGATAATGTAATGTAAATTCTTCAAGTTGATACTTTAATTTTATTATCTAGGTAAGATATGTTAAATTGCGACATGGTTGATTTATCAGGCCCTCTAGGCAATTTGATATATAAAAATATTGCTGACATTGTGCAGTGATGCGGACGATCCTCCGGCGATTCTCTGCGCCCAGAATTCATAATTTAAAAGATTCTGCGGGTGATTGCAGTTCATACGAGGATGTAATATCTATACAATATCAAACTACATACGTATAGATACACTTATTTCTATCAATTTTATAGCCTTTAAGAGCTAATTAATTTTTCGAAATGAACGATAATTGCTTGTGTGATTTTTTCGATAAATCGCGTGACCAAATTATCGCTTTTCTAGAAAATAGTGCTGTGAGGTGAAGTAAATGTGCAAGAACGTGTGAAAATTACAAAATATCTGTCAATGTGTTGTTAACTTTTACTAAAGTACTTATACTTTGGAGCTATTACGTGAGCAATAACGTAAGAACTATAATATTGTTAAGGACTATAATAAAGATTTTTGATACTCTAATGTATAATTTGTAATTTAACAGTAATAAAATCAATATACGTCTATAGTAATGTAGTTTTTTTTATCGAACAACAACTTCGTATAGTTGATAAATTTACTTCATAATAAAAGATAATTAATAACATGTATAGTAATTTAATTATATTCATTACTTACAAAAATAAAATGTCTTACAAAACAAAAATAGTTTAGATCCGAATAAAATTTATTCGTATATTTTATATGAATAACCAAATGAATACACGAATGAAAACATTATTTTTGTGTAATAATTATTACATAAACTAGAAGAATAAAGTTCTTAATAACCGTAAAAAATATATACCATTATTACATAGAAAAAAGTTTACTATGGTTAAAGATTTTTTGTTTTAATGAATGCGTAAATTCAGTTTACGAACTATCCCCTTGGTTACAAAAAATATTTTTAAAATTTGTTTCAAAGATTAAATACAATAAATCTATGTATTAATTTTTTATATTTAATTGTATAAATTTTAACTGTACTGCATAGTACATTTGTCATAATGTATACATGCTTAATAGGCTTATGTAATTATGTACAAAAGAAATTTGGAAGTGTGCAAG